CATAAGGCAATGTTGGTGGGGTGCAACTGATAAATAACAGGTGGTCAGTGCAAAGGAATGTAGGCACATAACAAAGGCTGTATAGGGTTAAAACATTGGGATTTTGCCTGCAGCTGTCCACAATAAATACGCATAAGTTCATTTTTTGCTTAGTTATGGATTCATCCACCTGTTTTCCTAAGAGTGCCAGACATTTTGAACTCTAATTATTACCAGGTCCTATCCAAAGTCCATTTCAGTTAACACAAAAGAAGTTGTCAGTGATCTTGGGGAGCAGGGATCAAGCCATATGGAACAGTTTCACTACCATATTTATGTTACAGACTCTCATTTTTGACCTTACATTTGATCCTTCTGCAAAAGGCTTAAAAATTTCCAGGTAGTTTTTGAAAATAAACCTGTGCTGCTGTTAAATTATTCCAACAGATATTGCTGCAGGACCACAAAGTGGGTGGGGGGTTGAGAGCTGTGGCACCAGTGAGCAGAGATGGATGTTGCTCTGCTGATGGCTCCCAACAAAATTCCAACTCCAGAACTCCCCAAGCCAACTTTAAGGCTCTCTCCAGAGCTGATTCAGCTGCAGCACAACATTGCCCATAAAGCAGATGAGGTGTTGCTGCCTCAGAAGTGAGCACACGTCCTTCTCCAGACCACCTTTCTGCTCCCCAGTAACACTCTTGATGCTTCTTGCTTCCTACCTGTTCTCTTTCACTATGATCTTACCAGTTTATGTCTGACAATTTTGTCTCTGTTGCCTTGGTTCCCAGGGAAAGCAATAGGGTATCCTACAGGCATAGTTCGTCAGTAAATCCACAGGTGGAATCACAGCCTTCAGCAATATAACCTTATCAGGAAAATACCTGTAATCTGTGAATACTCCAGAAAATGTTGCATCATGATTTAACAAACAAAAAAAACCCCAAACCATAAACCAGCAACAGCAAAGGAGTACCTAGAGAATTCCATGAGCAGAACAGAACAGCTCTGTAGATAATCAGATGTACAAGCTATCAAGCATTACCAATTTCCAGATGGTTTTGGGGTCCATTTTATAAATCTAGAATTGCATCACATAATATTATTTAATAACAGATGTAATTGTGTAAGGCTTTATATTGTGCAACCTGGCCTTCTCTATTCTCCATTTTCCTTCTTAGTGAAACAATCAGTGAAGCAATTTCTTGAGCATGGCTATTCTGAATTATTATGCTTTGCTTTATAACAAAACCTCTAGTTAATCAACATCAGACAAATCTTTTTTTATTTTTATTTTTATTTTATGTTTATTTCATTGAAGATGTTGGCTAGTCCTGAAACTGAGGCAGTAGAAATGTGGTTTGCATGTTCATTGACACCTCTCTGCACAATTAGGTTTTGGTGTGAGTCACCTGGGATGGAGATGTTTGTCAGCCAGGTTTTGGGAGGTTCATGGACATGATTAAGTGATGCTGTCCCAAGAAGCTAGTGCACATAAAACCAAACAAAATCTGTCTTCCAGTCTTGGCAAGTAAATAGAGGAAGAGCTGGCCTAGACTTTGTTCTTTAATACATCTTTAGTTGTTATTTACATTTCTTCATTACTTCTTTATGCTTACATTAGCAGACTAGGCTAAAATATCATGAGTAGTTTTTCTTTCTTCAATATTTTAATTTACATTAGCTGTTAGTTAGACCTACTTAGGTGACCCACCAGTAACAGTCAATGGCTTGGAAATGAAAAAAAAACAAACCTACAAACCAGTCAGGAAGATTATTTCCACCAATCGACTTGCTTTTTAAAGGGCTGGAACACAAAGTTTGAAATATCTGCTCTTAAAAATACACTAATTAGCCAAGATGTATTTCCTTGTATTTCCTTCCTTCATGCAGCACAGTCATGATTGTTTGAAGAAGAAGAGATGGAATCCCCTCATGGATCTGGATGCAGAGTAGGGATGCTTACTGACCGTGCCCCAGGAGAGGCTGAGGAGAAATCAGCTCTTGGTCCAGGCTGATGTTCACTTAACTGATCCCTGCTCTCTCTTTCTAAGTGCTCTGCAAGCAAATCTTAGATCAGATATATTCTCTTGACAGAGGTATTATTTTAAATTAGAAGGTGTGTTAATTTCTGTGCAGCACTTTTAGCTTCTGAAAGTTGCTGCAGTTCAGTGGATGTCTAATTATTTATTCATTTATTTTTGAGACATCAGCATTTTATAAAACACTGTATATCCTAGGCAGAGATTTTTATTGGAATATATTGTATTAAAAGACCATGTATATAATAGAATATTATATATTAAAACACAAGGCTCAATGCATTGTATATATATAATATAATTATTCCTGTTATAAACAATTAATTCTGTAAAATTGATTACTAAATTATAAGTTCTTTTCCAAAGTCCTGAAAATAAGACATCTAATTACAAGAGAATCTCACGTAACAGTTAAAACAATTTCCATATTCCCAGGTGTAAAGAAAGCTCAAAAACTAAGCTGAATGCAAACTGAACAGACCAAAAGGGAATAAACACACACATATTTGTGAAAGACTTCTGCAAGCTGATTTCTTTCTGTGAGTAGAAGCCTGGTAATAGTTGATGAGACACATGACTAAAACTAATAACTGCTAGCAAGCAAAAACTGAAATATTTGCACAAGTATGGAATCTTTTACTGAACCCTGGGCCCAAATGCCTTTTCTGGTATGGCTAAGAAATGTTAAGAGCCATATTTTCCTTTTAAACTAATTCTCAGAAATAAAAAATGCAATAGGATTTCAGAATGGAATCTCCTGGGAGTTGAATAATACTTTTCATTAGAGTTTGCTGCAGCAAGTCAGACTGTACTTGCTACTGCTGAGAATTAAAAGGTAATTAGCAAAAACCAGGCAGAGATGCTTAACTGGATGAACTGGATTTCATCTGTACAGCTCATATGTGATGCAAAAAGACTGCCAAGACAAGATGAAGACAGACTTAAGACTTTGCTTTGTATTTTCCTTGGATATACAAATACAAGCACACAAGATCAAAGGTACATTTTTAATAAAGTCCTATAGCTGTAGTACATGATGCAAAATTGTGCTCGACTTTAGGAGCCTGGCCCACATAATAAACTTTACGGATGAGAAGTTAGTAATTGATTTGGCTCTCTGTTGAAGACAAAGACTTATTTCTCAGAAGCATCAGCATAAGCTGTAAAGGGACATGTAGTTTATGGGAAAAACGTGCATTGAAGAAGGATACTGATTTTACCATAAGTGATCCGCTTCAGGAAGAAAGTTCTGCAAAGAAATATCCCCTCAACTCAATAAAAATATGAAGCATTTCTTCCAAGTAAGCCCGAACTTTTTTAGTTGGGATTACCCCGTGCAATAAATATGGAAAGAACCACCCTTAAAAACTAACTGGTCTTACTAAGCATCACTAATAATTTATTTTTAAATCTAACACATATATCCAAAGGGAACTTAGCAAACAAATTCTGAATTTTGCAGCAAATTATTTTCCTTGCAGATTAGCATCCAGAATAATTTCAGTGTAAGTGGGTATCAATAAAAAAGACACCAAGGGTACTAAGCAAGAATTCTTCCTTTTTTTTATAATATTTCAAAAGTAATGATCTTAAGAACCTGGAATAGGATAAACTACAGAGTACTAACACTAGAAAAACTAGTTTTGTTTTATCTAGTTAATGGTAGTAATGTTGCTGCAAATGTGGATGCCAATATTTTAATGATACATATATTTGATATGTATCAATAAATTATATTTACATTATAAATTTTATAATTTAAGATTCCTTTTAACAGTATCTTCAAAGAGCTTTAAATAATTTGAATGCAATGGGGTAAATCTAGTTCAACTGAAAATCTTGACTCTTTTAGTGCTGTTCTGTTTGACATTTCTGTGTGTCCTGAGATATTATGAAAAGATTTTAATATTCAGAATATGAAGAAGTAAATCATTAAGTATAATTTTTCTAGCAGATGAATTCACTGTTCACTGGTGTAGGTACTCCATTGTTTTGCATCTGGTGTAGTAATTTAGAGATGTGCATAGTCAGTGCAAAACATTACAAAATTAGAATCAGATTTTTCCAAATCCCTTTATGAAGGTGCTCAAATGTAAGCAGGAAACTGGAAAGTTACTTCCAGTGTCTTGTGGCTCTCCTTTGGATACCAGGCTAGATTCTAATTTTATTCAACTAAATTCTTCAGAACTTATTCTTTTTCTTTTTAATTTACAGTCAAGGATGAGATATATGGACCTGAACTCAAAGAGTTCAGCCATGTACAGCATGGTTTCTTTGAACAAAATGTAACCTGTGGTAAATAGGGGCAGACTCTCCATTATTCTCCATGGGGGGTTTTTTAGGCATTTTCTGGAATTCTTACAAGAAGAGTCTGCTCTGTGTGCTTTGCTGGACAGAATACGCACAAAAATATTTTCAAACTAAATGCAGCTGGTTCTAATCCTCTGATAATTCAATCTACATGAATCCCTAGCTTTAACATGAACCAAACCATCTGTAAAATGTTAGTTACATTAGAAGACACAAATCTAGTTTTTGACGAGATCCGAGCCAATCAATAAGTCTTTCTTTCTTTGATCTTAGTATTTTCTGGAATAATGGCAAGAAACCAAACCAAAGTCACCACAAAATCAATCCAAGCCTCAATACACTCTTAAAACTACTAGGAACAATTTTTGATGAGGGGCTTCATTGCTGGTAGAGTTTCTCTCCTTGAGACATGCATTCCAGTTGTGATTCAAATTTTTCTGCTGAAATGAGAGGATAAACTGTACTTGCAATCATATAGCAAGCAGTAGGAATCCTAAAAAGGTAATTTTCTTTTAAAAGATATATATGACCTTCCTTGGCTCATTTCAGATGAAATCCAGACCAATTTGTTTAAATAACCAGTAAAGACAGTACAGGAACTAAATGCAGGAGGAATGCTGAGAAAAAATAAAATGCAGCCAATTCCAAGTACACTGAAAGAATTTTATTAATATTGCATATTCACGTTACATTCAATAAGAACATTCATGTGTTTATTCCATACTCTCACACTTCAGCTATAATGTGGTTCCAGTGACATTTACAGATAACAGTTGGTGTTTAAAAACCCCAGGGTTGTTTTATTAAAAGACAATGAATTTGCATGAGAAATTACATTCTTTTTGTGAAAGTCCTTTTATGCATCATGTAGTTTTTCTCCATTTGTGAGACATATTATTGAGCAGGATTTTCACTACCCCACATTTAAATAAGATAGACATAGTGAAGTAGGAAAGAGCATAAAGCACTGCTGCTGGAATAGGGCAATATTTTGATTTTTCTTGGTGCAATTTTGCATGCAAGGGAGGGATGAGCAGAGTATGAAACTGGTGTCTGCCCTCCAACTCCTCTCTGGACCTTGACAAAAGACAGTAATACTCAAAATGCTCTCAAATAATTTTTTTGGCTACATACAAAGATGATTCAAATGGAACTCTTCACTTTCTGCTGAAAACAGCATATTTTTAGCAGGATTCCTCCTATGTGCATAAACCCATAAGGCACAGAAGTCAAGAAAAAGATAACTAATTTGATTCCATGTCTGCTAAAGAGAGGCTGGTCTATCCCTCTAGTTGTCAGGCATAATTAATAAGTTTTCCTTCACAATTTTTTTCCTCCCTGTTCCTGCAATCCTGCATTTTTCTTGCCATCTGATTAATGCTTATTAGCTTTACAATACTGTTTTTGCAGTTCTCAAAACCAATCACTTTTTTACTGATGTGGAACCAGCTAGAGTAATTTAATAGCTCTTTCAAACACCTGCCATCACAATCAAGCTTCTACTGCTTCATTTACCTGAAACCCTTATGGTCTGTGTAGTGGTATTTTCATTTGAACTAGTAACTAAGGTCTACTACTGCCTGATGCTTTTTGCCTTTTCCACTTATCTGGTACCTTTATAGTCTCCTCTTAAACCAGAAGACTGGATGCTCATCCTCTTCTTCCATCCTGGTAAAAGAATTGGGCAGACTCCATTGTTTCATCCACTCTGCTGGTGTGCTGTGCCATGGAAATGGTTTTTCACAGTTTTATGGTCAGTGCAGGTAACTGGTACTCTCTGCTCTGTACTCCCTGCTGCTGGAAGGCTGACATAGGTAGGGAGGGACGTGACAAAAAGAACATTCAGTTCCGATCTCCTGGGCTTCAGAACACAACCTGAAGTACAAAATATAGTAGCAATCATACTGAAATTAGAAAAATACGAGAGATGAGTCAATTTCAGTATTCCTATGCTGCCACCTGTCCTCTTCCAGCAAGATTCTGGTCTGACAGACTTTGTAAAAGAAGACTTAAAACAGATCTTGATCTTCACAAACTGCAACAGCTGGAGCTGCTCACAATGGCTTTCCACATGAAGAAAATGCTGGTGACATCTCTAAACCCTTAGATTTGGCAGAGGAAAATAGTATATATAGCCAATATAATCTGTTTGGTGCATCTTTTATTCAAAACCAAAATGTCATTCCGTGTCATGCATTCTTCAACCAAAGCATGCAGAGCTACAGAATGAGACAGGAAACCTTTAAAAGGCTTACACAGAAACAGAGATTACTGGAACTTTGAGGTCACTATGAAGCCATTAGAAATTTTACTGTTTTAATTTGAAACAAACAAACTCCAGAATACCACAGACGTGATGTGGGACTGGAGCAGGCAGTCAACCTGGCAGGGCCGTCTGAGCCAAAGAACCTCTTCTATCTCACAGCAGAAGGGAAGATTGTCGAAGGTTTGGCAGAGCAAATAGGAAAAAAAAAAAAAGATTTAAAAACATTTAGAAATGTCTGCTGAAGAGGACTGAGTTGCCTGCTCTGAAATGTGGTAAAGGAGTGTACAAAGCCTGAAACACCATTCATAATGTTACAGGAATGGTTGAGACATTTTTTTGCCAAATTTGACCCTGTACTGTCCCTGTTTTCCTCACCTATGAAGTCCTAAGGAAACTTGCCCTTCAGTTCAGGGTTTATTTCCTTAAAACATGTTATACCTCTGAAAATATGGAGCTGCAGAGCCCAGTGCCCATGCTTGAACTACCTGTGAAAATCCTACCTCCACTGGTTGCTGTTCAAAGGATGAATTTATGAGCACCTGGATATTAAAAATCTGTCTTCAATGCCTGTCTCATAACTTCAACAATATTAGTTTTTGAATAGCATTTTTCTTCCTCTTATGAGAAGCATTGCCTTTGCCTGTGACACCATTTATGCATCACGTGATGCCCAGGAAGCAATTTTCTCATATCTTGTCTCCAGCCTAAAACATTCTCTGTATGTAGAGTAAACCCTGGGACTTGTGGCCCATTAAGGATTTTGTCAAAGCAGCACATTTTCAAAGGACAAATGTCCTAATTCACCAATATTATATTTTAAACAAAACAAAAAGACCAAGTTTTTCTGGGAACTCACCTTTGTCTCCAGCACGATTTCCCAAGCATTACAAACCACATAAAAGGACAAAGGATACTTCAGTGCCAGTCCAGAGAGACCTGAGCCAAGAAATACCTTTCCAGGAGGAAGATCATAGACATTGAGATCACATGCCTGGAAAAAGGTAGATTTTTTTGCTTTCTTATGTTTTCAGGACCAATTTGACGAGACATTTCTCAAGAAATGATTGAAAGCCTACCCACCCAAGTGAAGAGGGCAAACCCCAGATTTGGATGCACAGTCTGTGTTGCTGCCATCTGCTGTTTAAATGTGGAATGGAAAATTTCAAATTATTTTCTCCCCTACCACATTTTTTCAATTTTTAAATGCAGTCATATAAGGAAGATTAGAGGGAGAGCTTTCTTTTTCACAATTCTTGATTTAAAAATGTTAATTTACTAATTTAACCTGAGAAACTTTCCTTTAATTTTGTTTTGCTGCCTATTTTAGGGCTGGCTTTAGAAGTTTGTTGTTTTTTTGTTTTTTGTTTTTTTTTGTTTGTTTGTTTGTTTGTTTTTTTGTTTGTTTTTTTTTATAAACATGAATTCCCATTTGGGATAAAGGAAAAGAAAAGCAAAGAAAGCAGATTAATATGGGAAATAACGTATTCATTTGGGTGTATTATATTTTTTCTATAAGTAAATTTTAATTGGATGACTTGCATAAATGGAATGTAAATTTATCTACAGCACAGCATGGATTTCGTGCTTTAAAAGCCAAAGTTCAACTGCTGATTTCATTAATTAGGAACTATAATTAGTAAATGTAGGGTAGGTAAAGGAAATGAAAACAAATGTGCTTCATTAACTGTTCTTCAGGCACAGGTAAATATGAGCTCATTCACTGCAACTGTGCACTGCATGCCTGAGACAGCCCTATTAGGAATAAAGTAATAACCTACTGCCTTTGACTACAGAAGTGCTCACTCCCCTGGTTACATTTGTTAGGGATCCCTTACTAGGAATCACAGTGCAAGGCAAATTTGAAGTTTCCTCTTTGAATCTTTACAATTGTGACCCACAGAAAGATCAATTATCACTGTCCCTATTCCACTATGAGCCTCAATGACCTTGGAGGTCTTCTCAAAGCAGGAGACATTAAGATGAATGGTTTTGATGACCAGTAGGAAACCAAGATTAGAATTATATTTTCTTGATTAATTTTGATAATAATATTATCAATTTACAAAGACACAATCAGTTGCCTCATTAGACTTTGCAAGTGGTACATAATTTCTGTATGACCCATCTGAATGCTGTGTGTCCCTGAGACTGGCAGAAGCTCCTTCCTACAGCTACAACTTCTCTTGGGGCAGTAAATGTCTGATTGGAGAATACCAATCACTAAAAGCTCAGTTGTACATTGTTGGTATGCAGAGAGCAGCCTTGCCCTCAATCCAAGTTATCTGTAGATAGCTATTATTGCAAAATTAATATTTTTTGAATGGCAGTAGAGTTTCTTTCCACTTTATTTCAGTCTAGCCCATGCTGACCTGTTTTTGGTCTTCACTCTCCAGCCTGTGTCTTACACTGACACCCTTGTTGGTGCTCTCAGCCTGTAGAACAGAAGATGATCACTGTGCTGCTCACTGAACTAGGGCGCTACCATTATCCTTTCTAAAGGAAAGCATCACACACCTGCCCTGGTGGCTAATAACCAGGACAGAGGATGGTTGTCACAACTTAAAAAGGTAGAAATGGAAATGGAAAAGAATCCTGAGCTCACAGAGGGGACAAGGCCAGACTTAAGAGATAAACCTATTGCTGAGTATGGCATAGCTGAAAGACAATAAAAGATTCATTAAACTGGGCAGAACAGCACAAAAGAAAACCAAAACCTCCTAAACCATGCCTGTTCATTTTTTATTATGGGGTGGGCTGCAGCCTGCCAGCCTGTTTTAAAATCAACACTTCACAGCAAGAAACTACGCAGCAAAGTATCACTTCTCTGCAGGCACTTCCTTCCCCTGACAAATGGTTCAGGCACAGTAATAGCTTAACCAGAACTGCACTGAGGGGCGACCAGCGCTGAGGGAGGAGGATCTATAGGAAAGAAATCTGTATTTATTTACAGACACATACACAGGCACACAGCTTATTGTGCAGAGCAGCTTCTTATTGTGGAAAATGAGCTGCATAAAATGCAAAGCTACAGGAGATGTTTTAACACTCAGGGGAAAAAAATAAATTCCACATGTTACACTAATTTATTCTGTCCCCAAGGGGGATGTCCATAAATTTCTCAGTTGAAAAATCAGCTCCTCTTCCAGCAGTTTTAAGACTTACTAGTTAGCACTCCTTCTTAACATCACTAACCTGCTAGCCTTTTCTAATTTTCCTAATTTTCTAAGAAAGGAGAACAGAAAAGGGATTGTTTGGGAGCTCATCATAGTGCTCCTGAGTATAAGCTGAAGCACATTTTTTCCTGAGGCAGAGAATAAACTGCACCCTAATGTAAATGGCTGATACAAAGCCAATACACCAATTTATGCCTCAGCTAAATCCTTAACTTAGCACTTATGTAAGACATTAGACTTTTATAGCACTTGGACCAAGGTAGGAATTCATGAGGAGCTCACTAATTTGAGAAAACAACTTGAGTGTGCTTTTCAGTACGACAAACCAGACCACTTATCCAATTAAGGAGAGATGAAGGAAGATAAATTCTATTTTGCCAGCTTTCTGAAATGTTTTTCAGATTTTCTCATTTAATACAAGCTTGATACAAAGCTGCAGAATAACATTTTTAAGCTGCTCTCTAGTTAAAATGCTAAGCCTTTCCCTTCATGAGTAAAAAAAAAGTATTGTGCATGCAGAGTTTTAACTATCTCTGCTCAAATTCTGCCAATTTTTGAATGCTTAGGAATCACACTGAATCTGCTCATTCCCCACCAGGGCTGGTAAACGAATTAGCACTAGAGCTCTGCTATTTTTCTCTTACTCAGTAGTCACATTTGTAGGAGACTATTATTTTTTTTAAACACATTAATGCAATGATGGGAAATTTAGCATAAGCTAACAGAGATTTGTAGGTTCTACACCTGAACCAAAATGCACTTTTAATGAGCACCCCAGGAAATGATGCAGTCCTTGCCAAAGTGTAATTAATGGCTTGGAACTGAAGTGTTGGGATAATCAAGACAAAGAAGCAACTTGTAAGATGGATTTTTCAGGATATGGATGCTTAGCACATCCTCAAAATAAAGCCATTTCTATTGTCTCCATAATGGAGACTCTCACAAATCACAACTGTCTTTTAAAATTTTTTGGCTTTTTTGACTGACAGTAAATTGTATTTGTGTTATTAAATGAAAACATCTCCGAACATTTGGAAACAACTTTGCACATTGTGATGAAAATCTATTTGCAATAAAAACAAAAACTAAATGTGCAGAAGTGAAACAAAGATCAGCTCTATATAGCTGCAAAAGTCAACCTCTTTGAGATTTTGTTATCAGCAAAGAAGTAGCAACACTATAGAAATAAGATTATGATCCATTGTATTACTACAAAAACAAAATCTACCTAAACAGAATTTAGCCACTGGAAATCCTTTGACAAACTCTAATAGTTTTGATTTGGAGGACAATTTCTGTTCCTATTTTTTAAGACAATGGAGGAAGACCAGGAGATGCTTAGGCATGTGTTAACATCAGCCCTCTAGGACTACTTTATAAAAATTACAAGAAGCACGTACACAGCAATATCAAAAAGACTTGGCTTCTTAAATGCATTCTACAAGAGTAGCTTGGTGTCTTTAACTAAATGAATGAGGATAGATACAGCAGTTAATTCATCCTCAGTTTAAAAATCCTAGGTCATATTTTTGTTAAACACATAATTAGAAGCCTTAATGGAAGTTCCCTTAGTTGTCCTTAAGTTCCTGTCAAGACTCTTCCCACCCATTCAGTGTTACAGGTGCTGATTCATGCCCCTGGGTAATTTAGAGGTACTGAACCTTAGGCTGCTTCTTGGGGGAGGCAAAATCCCCACCCAGAAATAAAACCCCCAGAGACTGTGATGAAGGTAAGAAAAGTAACCTCTATAAATCACGAAGAAGTAATTTAATTTTCCTATAGGTCAGGCATCAAATCTTTTCCCCTACATCAGTGACCCCTGGGTACTTAACACTCACTTAGGAGAAATAACAATATCCCATGCCTTATGGCAAGTCAACAAAGATCTTCAAAACAAGGCATCCTAAAGAACTCACTTATCTGCAAAGGACACCATCTCAAAAGAGCATGGGGAGAAATCCTACACTGATTACACCAGTAGCTGTGGGGCACAGCTAGCTAGAAATAGCATCACCTCTTCTCCTTTTCCTAGGTCTGCAGGTAGAACAGGAGAGAGGCAGGATCAGACTTTGGGAGCTGGATCAGACTTCAGGCTTTCTGACTGCTCACTGCCATCTGGGCTTTTGCTACTCACCCTGAAGAGGTGAATCAGAAAAACTGCAGGAGGGAGAAGATGAGTCCTGTGGGAAGTACATTTCTCTTTCTAAACAGTAAGATGAAATGGCTCAGGTTCAGACTCCCAACTTCATGTACAAGAATCTCAGCAATTTCATTTTCAGTTGTTAATAATTTTTATGTTTCCTCAGTGGAAAAATGCTTAAATGTAATTTACATTCAAGCCACCAAAAGGTTATAAACAATTCCCAGGCAGAAGGTTGCCAAACCATGTCAATTCAAAAAACCAGCAAGACAAACATAAGTATTCTTGCAAGAAGTACTGTTCACAAACCTGCAGTCCAAGGAAAATGTGCCACAGAAATTAAACAATGGGGAAAAACCAGCCTATTTCCTTCAAGGGCTGTGTAAATACCTCTGGAATGTGTGTAGCCTCCACTGTGTATTTCAGGGTGACCTCCTTCTGGGGTTCGCATTTTCCGTAACTTCCTTCTGGTAAGAGAGAGCCTCCGTGTGTACGCCCAGGTCCCCAGCTAGGGTCTGTCACCCTTGCCTGCTGCAGTCAGCAACACCAAACTGATTTAGTGCAGCTGAGGCACTGGCTCATTGCTCACCAGCTATTCTGAGAAGCAGAGCTCAGCCTTTGCCTGTCCCAGCATTGGTCCAGCTGCCTCCTGAACCAGCAGGAGTCAAAGGGGTCAGGCTGCACTGCAGGGGAAGGGAGAGCAGTAGAAAAGAACTTAGATCTCCCAAACTGTGAACCTATCAAACTGAAGTAAAAGTCCTGCCCTGTGGTATCACATTTATCTTTTTCTATTTGCTATCTATATGTGCAATAAAGCACTGGATGTTTAGCTGATTTGAAAGTTGAGATGGGATATTCCAAGTTTACTCCAATCTTGAATAGCATTATCTTTCCTTAGTATCAAAACATAAACTAGAGGGAGACAATAACTGAGCTTGTTAAAACTTTGTAACAACTCCCTGGGTCATGTTTTTGAATCACTATCAACAAAGAAACAGAAGTTAAACCCCTTACAGCCCTATACAATTCCTCCCTCCTTCAAGTCAAACATTAGTACTATACTGGAGGTAAGAAATCACATTTTCCTCAGGGTTTGCACCTGGAACAGTCATACTGTTAATCAGTTTACAGCTATGTTAAATAATTTGCCAGTACTGTCTGAAACAGACACAAATAATTTTTTTCTATAATTGTAAGTTCTTCCGCTCATCAGCCCCAACTAAAATTGTTAAAATACACATGGCCATATATGTGTTTACTACAGATATTTTTTTTTGGCTGAAGTTCTGCTTGTGTATTATCTATACTGCAATTACATCTGTTGTGTACACCACAAAGACAATCAATAAATTAATGCTTCAGTCAAAACCCCACCTAAACTTACATAGCATACAGAACTTGGCTTAGACTGAAGAATTTAACATAAGAATTTAAAAGCTGGAGTTTGCCATATTTCGTTACGTTCTGCATAGTATTTGCTCTTCAGAAATTCCTGTATCAAGACACATAGAAATAAACTTCCCTTCCAAATGTCTCAGTTTTGTTCAGTTCCTTAACTCTGCAGCTTTACTTTTTTACTGGAACCAAATCTTGGGCTTTCAACAGTACCCCAGTACCATACTCATGTTCAACATAAGATTATGGAGAACTGGTTTTCTTTGCATCTCTCTAACCTTTTTGTGTACTTCTGCACACAAAGTACACAAAACACAACCCAGCTGATCAAAGGTATTCATTCATGCTCCTAACCAACTTCAGTAGGGATTAAACATCTAGACAAGGATCTGTGATTGCCATCTTCACTTCTGAACCTCGGTTTCCAGTCTACAAAATAGAGGCAACCCACACAAACGTAAGGATGTTTGAAATACGTCACTCATGGATGTATCTGAAGGATGGTTTTGAAGAGCTGAAGAAGGCAGCCGAGTTTGCTTTTTGTTTGGTTGGGGTTTTTTGTTTAACAAAACGGCACACCTGATGCACTCAAGTCCCACCTGAAGGATTTGCATAAGGCTCTGTCTCCGGGAGAGGGACTTTTTTTTCTGAAGAAAATTGTGCAGAGATTCTGAATTCCCAGGGCACTTTTCCTTTCCTAGCTTGAGGAGATTTCTCTCTCTGTTCTCCCAACGCTCTGATCATCTTGGAAACCTGCCCTGAGGCAAGCAATAAATGGGGGGTGGGGAGATAGGACTGGAGCGTAGGGCCTGGCTCTTCTTGCTTTTGTTTGTAAAATTAAGCATTTTAAAGGGAATTTTGACTGGACTATACTGACTGCAGGGCCCATTTCCTATAGCTAGAAAACCATGAAAGTAGGCTATATAGAGCCATTCTACAACATACTCCAAGTGCAGGTAAGGAACTCTAACGCCTGGCATAATTAAGACCAGACCTTGGAGGCTAATGGTGGCTCATTTATAGCAGATCGAAGACAGGCCATCTTTTTTGACAAGACTACAGGATCTATGACAGTGGATTATCAACGTAGTTGGCTGGCAGCTGCACTCGAATTTATTGCTGTGGCAGCTGTTCAGTAAAATTTGCTGGAAAATCCAGTGGAGATTAGGTTTTGATGAAAAATTTCAAGGCGCTTTTCTCTAATGTGAGCAAGCACAAACCTCCTGGGCTTATTGAATATTGCAGATCAGCAAGATAGGGATGCTTTTGCCTAAGTGGATGGAAGGTGCTGGGAAATGTGGGCTGCTCCCAGCCGGTCTGTGCTGCTCTCCAGCTCCACGTTCTCCCCAGTCCTGTTCAACAACATCCACAGCCTGTCATTAGAGGGCCCAGCTGCAAATGCCAGGGCCGTGCTCCTGAGGCAATTACCCACGCCTCTGTGTAACTGCGGCACTCGCCTAGAGTGCATTACAGGGAGACACTTATAGCAAAACAGGATGTTGCGATGGGTATGGAGCTTTTCCTGACCAAGGAGAAAATGCGTCATGCAATCTGATGATGTTGCTTAACATAGGAAATCGCCTTGGTTAGGCGATTAGATAGTATGCAGCATGGCTGACTCTAATTTCTGGTCCTACTTTCTCTTTTCCCCCAACATCAAGTACATGGCTGGAAGCTACAGGAGACAGGAGCCCGGCTGACTGGGAGCGGCGGGAGTGACTGCTTATGCAGTTCCAGCTATAAGAAATGCGAGGGTAAAGAAACGACAGTGCTTCTGGCTTAACATCAACGAGGAAAAACTTCCCCCAACAAGTATGATCGAACGTTTTAATATTCACCTGACAAGATCTGTTTTGACTGCTGGCGTGGTTACATTAAGTCGCCCAATTAACCCATCCACAGCCCGTCCGATAGCACCAGCTTTTGAAGGTAAAGCGAGGTGCTGCTCCCCGCTGACCCACACCGGAGAAGGCGCGCTGGCACCGGCGCTGCCGCTCGCCGGCCGCAGCCCGTCCCGTTCCGTCCGGTCCCGTCCGCTCCGCGCAGCCCCGCGCCCGCCGCGCTCGGGGCAGCAGCCGCAGCTCTCGCGGGAGCCGCGGCCCGAGGCGCCGGGAGCTGCCCGCCCGCCGGCGGGGGCTGCGGGGCCGGCCCGCCCGCAGGGGAAGCGGCGGCTGCCAGGGCGGGCGGAGTCGGAAGCACGACAGCACGGGGCGCTGGGGCGGCGCTGGTGGCGGGGGCGGGAGCAGCTCGGCACTCGCTGCCGTGCTGGGGTCGCGGCGCAGGGACGGAGCCGGGCAGCGCCGGCCCCACAGCAGCACCAGAAGCAGCAGCGGCAGGAGGAGGAGGAGCCGCCGGAGCCGCCTCCCGCCGCCGAGCGCGGGGAGCCGCCGGAGCCGCTGCCCCGGGCGGCTTGCGAGCGCCGGGCTGCGGCGCCGCCGCTGCCTGCCGCCGCTCCGCGGGTGAATGAACCTGTCCCGGCCGACCACGACGGCGGCTTCGCCTCGGGGTCCGGCACCAGCCTCTCTCCGCACAAGATGGACGGTTTCGCCGGGAGTTTGGGTGAGTCGCGGCGGGACGGGACGGGACGGGACGGGACGAGGTGCGGGCAGCCCGCCGTGCGGCGGGGCCCGGGACGCGCACCTGCGGCCGGCGGGGATGCCGGAGCCGCGGGCTGGGACTGCCCGGGGCCAGCCGGGCCGGTGCGTGCGAACACCGCCCGCGGCGGGAGGGGAGGGGATGCCAGCGCGAAATCTGGTCAGCTTCAAACCATCTGTTGCGAGCTCCGGCTGCACTTGCCTTCTTTGTTCTTCCCTCGCCGTGGGTTTGCGCTTCCCCAGAGCTAGTTACTTGGCTTTGGGCTGATGGTTTGGCTTAGGTTGTTTGGGGTTTTTAAAAATGTTACTTTGTTTTTTGCCTCTCCCTTTTGCTCCGGGGTGGGAGGGACGCCGTCGGTCCGGGCGCAGCGGGCCCGGTGTCGCGCCGGGAGCCGCGGGCGGCTCTGCCCTGTCCCGGCTCAGAGCGGCTCCAAGGGGAGCGCAGCACCCCTGGAAACCTGGGGGCGCTGGCGGCATCCGCGGGAATGGTAACGGGGCAGTCGGCGCCTTCCCGGTGTCCGAGCATCCGTCCGTGTGCCCGAGGAAGCCTCCTGGCTGCCTGGGCGGCATGTTCATCTGCGGAGCCGTGGCGTGGTCGAAAATATTTTCTGCTTGCTCGTGTAAATGTTGCCAGAAAACTGATAGGCTGCACTGCCTTCAGTTTTATGAAGGCTGCGGCAAATTCCCACCAGTTTCTTGAAGCAAAAATACTCCACCAGCCTAGTTTTTTACTTTTTTGGGGGGACAGATTGCATGTGCTACCAGGTGTTGCTGATTACAAGTGTGAACTGAACATGCATTCAAATGTAAGAATTGTAAACCGTGTAAGTTTCCATTTCTGCAAATTATAAGAGTATTGGCTTTGCAGTGCTGTCTGCCTGCTGTTCTCATCGTGTTCACTGCCGATGCATCTATTGCAGGCGTTTTGTAATCAAACTCCATCTTTTGTAGAATAATAAAACTGTGCCTCTTAAAAATAAGATTAACTTATTTTTATGTCACTCCTGTAAAATCTGTAGTAACAGTGAATAGTTCTCAATTTTCTGGAAAAATTGACTCATTTAAATACTTCTGAGTGTGATCCTAACCTTTCAGGTTTTTGAAATGTCAACTCCAGCATTTTGGGCATCTCTCCAAACCAAACTGGTGCACCATAATTAACAGTATGCTTTGGTAGTTTGGCTCTTTGCCAGGCATACTGTCCTTGCTCAAGTAACTGCCATGGCCATTTTAAATCTAGTGATCAGAAAGCGACACATGGAGGAATTGCACGGGTTCTGTTCCCAGTTTTCTGAGGGAAGATTGTGCCTGTGGGTGACATATGCAAATATTCCATGGTTAATATTTATGAACCTCTTAACCCAGCAGAAGAACTGATCACCATATCAAAGCACACCGATATTGCTTTTAACTCGTGCAGTATTGGTCCCGAGAGAGGTCGATATTTAGAAACAACTGGCTTTTGTTGGAAGTAGGAAAAACTCAATTACTACGAAATAATAAAGCTCTGCTTTCTTGCTTGAGGTTCTCAGTGAGCAGTGGTGTGGGATCGCCGGGTGGCCCAGCACCTTGTGCTGGAGCCGCGATGGGCTCATTGGGGCATCCCATGTGTCTTATTAAGGGGGGCTCCATCTGGACCTTTAATTTGTTTCACTGTTTGTTCAGGAAGGCGCTGTGATTTTGTGTGAATTTAATGAGGATTAAGCTCAGCTCAGCCTTTTAAAATGGGTATTATGATATTCACTGCTAGTTGGCCTTTGATTTTGCTTTTGAGGCAAGCACTGATGCTCAGAGGTTTTCTGGACTTGGGCTAAGGGGAGGGCATTCCCAGAATCTTTTGCTTTGAAGTATGAAACTTTACGTGACTTTTTTGTTTGCAGGTTTGAATCATGCAGCTTAGTCCTCTTCTGTATTTATAATCACTTGTTGGCCGTTCTAGCCGCTAATGAGCACATAGAGTTCACAAAGATGTGTGAATTGTTCTGAGACCTTTTTTTTTAAATGTCTCTAATTAAAATCTAATGGCTTGAATTTAATTAGCTGTCCGCTAAATGTCTTTTAGGAAGGCCATAAATTAATGTAATTTAGAATGAAATGTAAAAATTAATTAAAATTATTGTTGGCAAAACCGTGCTGTCTATGTATGTGCATGCTCAACCAGTCAAGCAAGGTTATTAGAGAGCAAGTTGTCCTTTTAATGCCTCTTGTCATTATCTGGAAGGCAAAATGTTATTACAGATTGTGCCCTCTAGCACAGGCAGAAATACCTTCTTGCATGTCTCTTGCAGTTGAAAATACTTTACGCAGCTGTTTTCTTTTGGCTTCCACATTGAAATTTTTATGAGACTAAACAGATGAAAGAAACCATTTTATATGTAATTTAGAAAATTGTTTTGGTTATTGGCTTAGTAAGTGCTTATGTAGCACTCTACTTACGAGTATACAATTACTGTGTACAGTAAAAAAATAAACCTATCTGTTATGAGTTAACTTGAACAGTTGAAATAGGTATTGATTATTTTGATGAAGCACTGAGTTATTTTCCGTTTGCTGTGACTTCAGTACCTTTAGAATATCACAGTGATATTTGAATCCCATGCATTATCTCAAGTAGGACAGTTGTATCTCACATTTGGCATTACCAACGTGATGGTTGTCAGAGGTCTCAATGGATTCTGACCATCTGCTTTTTCAGATGCATCCCTCCAAGTCAAAGAATGTGCTTCTGAATGGGAACAAGAAGTCTGTGAACCTGGGCTGGGTGCCTGGGCTCTTGCCTTGTGCCCTGGCTGAAACAGGAGCACAGCATGGGCGTCTGGCTCTCATGCTGCCAAGTTCCCCTGCCTCTCAGGGTCCTCATCAAAACAGATCTGCATCAGGGCAGAGAAAGCACTGATGATTCTGCCAAAGGACTCAAGCAGAGAGTTCTAGCAAAAGGAAAAAAAAAAGGCAAATAAAAAAGACCATGTGGGAAATAGTGCAGCTAAGGCTGTCAATAAGCGTTGCCCTGTTTCATCCCTGGCTCCTGTTTGTTCTGCACTGCTGCCCTGAGTCTGTTCCACTCTGGCACTGGTGCCTGCGAGCCCCCGGGTGAGCTGGTTCAGGCATGCCCATCAGAGGGCTGCAGGGCTGCAGAAGACTGACAGTTTTGCCAATAATAATTTTGATTTTTACGTATCATCAGGGATTATATTACTTTGCTGCTTGCCCCTGGTGTTTTGATGGGTTTCTGCCTAAATTGGCTCGCTGGGGAGTAGGAGAAGCGTGGCAGGTGGTGGGAAGGAAGCGGAGGGAGCTTCAGCTGGGGCTGGGTGGGACCGGGTGGCACTGTGCGTAGCTGTCAGCTCCGAGAGTGACTTTGCTGGGTCGTGCCTAAGGTGTGAGATTTGCTAGATTTAGACTCCGGAAGAGCCAGCCGTGACAGGCTGCCTGCGGCTGCTGAGGAGTGAGTGCTCTTTGCTGGACAGTTTTCCATTACTTTTAGCAGCTGCATTGTTTTCCTTTCTGAGAAAGCTTCTGCTAGCTGAACTCTGTAACAATACTCGTGGTAAACAAAGATATGGAAACATTAATCAGATTGTATTAAATAAATCACTACAACCTTTACCAAGTTTGTTGCCACTGTGTGATAACAATGTGGAAGAGAGCATTTCAAAAGGACTCTCTCCATTATTGACGTCTGTGGCAGAATAGTAACTCATAAAAAATGGAGAAGTCTCAACTTCTGATTTCAAGCCATGGTTTTTGTGCAGCTGTGCAGGATGCCCTGAAGGTTAGAAGGAGTCTTTCTGAAGGATTCTTTATGGTTGAAATTATTTTCACAGAGAAATTAAAATCACTCTTATCTTGAAGTCTCAGGCAAGCGGAATAATTTAGGATTTTTTTTTTTAAGATTCTTTGAGCCTGTGCATTTTGTTTTCAGAGAACTTGAAGGTGAAGGAGAGCTGAAATTACTAAGTGGAGACCAATGCTTTGCTCTGCTGTTGTTGTTACTGCAGGAAGAACTGGAGACATAATAAAAAAAATTCTTTTTTATAATTTTGTGCAGTATCTACATTTTCTTCTGTCACTGTGTGTGTATTGCTACTAACTGCAGTTTATATGCTAACCACTTACTGGGGGGGTGACATGGAGGTAAGTTCATATCATTTTGCCCCATTTTTTTTCCTGGGTATTGTGCAGAAGCTGTCTGTGTCAGGTAGGTTCTGAGGCAGTATTATGAGTATGTGCTGCTCCTCAGCCCTGCAGGAACCAGCAATGTCTGTTGAACCTGTGGCTTTGCTAAAACCCAGTAAGGCTTCTCCAAAGCCCCCAGTCTGTGGGGGCAGAACTGCTACAGGGCTCAGGCAGAGAGGATTTTGTGGTCGCTGGTGCCGTGAGCCTGGAAAGCGTGTGTGCATGATGATTCATCTCTGGCTGGGCTCACTACCGAGAAAAATGAGTGTGTGGGGTATTTGTCATTTATTTGGGCTAGAATATTAAGTTTTATCGTTGCCCGTCTAGACTGCAGAAGTGGCCGTGGTGCTGCAATGCAATTGCTCATAGC